GCAAGATCACAGACATTCTACCTCTGGCCACATGGGTTACCATCAGCCATGAGTATAGAGACAGCAGCTCAGACTTGTCTTGGTTGTGCCACCTGGAGATGGCTCACGAGGTCCTAAGGAAGGGAGGACCCCACTGACACAGATGCAAATAGGCTGCCTTTCTGAGAGGAACTCCATCAACTGCTCAGCCCCTCCCTCCAGAACATGGCACAGGAAGCTTCTGGAAATGCTGATGTTTAATGACCTATTCTACATGAGGAACCTGGACAATGAGGAGTTTCTAAAATGCCAAGTCATAAAACCTCAGACACTTGCAAAGTAAGAGAACAAATATGCACGGAGCTGCTCAGCCACTGATGTGCAACTCCTGGGAACAGCTGGTGTCCACGGGGGAGAGGGCAGCATGAGGCCAGGCATGTGAGTGGCTTCCACTCAGGAGAGCCCCTCTGAGCAGGTCTTGTTCAGGAGTTCAAAATACGTCTTCCAGGGCATGGTTTCAATAGTGAAGAAGCAGCTGAAGGTCTGAGGGAACAAACAGGAAGAGACAGTAGGGCGGGGTTTGGGGAGGTTCCGGAATCCTGTGGCATCTGCCCTTGACACAGGTTCCATCTCCACCTTGCCCATTCCCGGGCCAGCAATCGAGCCACGTGGCTCTGGCCTTCAGGTCTAGCCTGAGCCTGAGGCCAATCCTGAACTACATCATGATTTGAGGCTCCCTCCTTAGCCAGGGTCACTTGTGCCATGCCTCCTCCTCTAGCCCATGCCCCTCAGGGAAACCCCAGGCTGTCCTGGTGTGATCCCTGCACCCAAGAGCAGCAGGAGAACACTTTGTCCCGTGGAAGCAGTTCCAAGACTTAGGCAATTAGTTACCTGTTTGTTAATCTTACAATAAGGGGGTTGACTAAGAACGGGAAGTTTTCCCAGAGCCAGGATTCGCTTGGAGCTCGTCCCCTAGAGCAGGATCTGCAACTCAGCAGGGCCTAGGAGCAAGGGCAGTGGGGCTTCTTCTCAGCCTTCACCACTTTGGGTCTAGGGCAGAGTAGAGAAACCCTGAGAAATGTACCCACAGACATTCTCACCATTGTCTCCAGGCTCTTTGTCAAGAAGGCAGGGAAGAATGGGGAGGAAGACTAGAGAGAAGGTTCTGAAGGCCATGTGGCCCAGGTGCAGGCAGCTGCAATGGTGTCAGAGGGCAGAGTCAGGAAACTCAGATCGGCTGGGGGCCTGAAAGTGAAGCCCTGGGCTCCCTGCCTCACTGGACTTCCCACTAAGGCACAAGCAGGGCAGCCTGGTAGAGCCTGCTGTGGGCTCACTTGCCTTTGTCACTCGGAATGGCTTTGCTAGCTGCTCCTGTGCCCACACCACACCCCATGCAGCATCCACAGTTGTGGACCTGAGGAAAGCTGACGCCCTATCTTACATTTTTCAGCTCTGGGCTTTCTTGAAAAGGGCAGTTGTCAATGTCATCTTCAAATTTCCTACATACAGTTTGGCGCAGTTGCAGATTCATGGAGAACACCATCTTACCTCGCCACTGCTGGACAAAAAGAGATTAAAGTGGATGCACTGCCTTCCCGCCCCTAAGTAGCTGCTACTGAAGATGCCATTTGTGCAGGAGAGACCCCAGCACTCTACTGCATTTGAGAACTTGCCCATGGGCCTGGCATCAGCGCACTGGAGGTAAAACCCAGGGGATCCTCTCTAGACTGAGGAGTTAAGAGCAAAAAGCAGGTGGGTATGGTGGGTCTGGGGAGGATGCAGGTTGAGCCAGGCTACACTAACACATTCTCCACCTCTGCCCACCCCATTTCCCACGGTGAGACTCCAGCTTCACTCTCAGCAGGCATGTGATCTTGCAGCTGCATTCCCAGAGGACAGAGCCACATGTCCAGGAGGGTGTTGGATCTCCGAGAGTTTTCAGGGTAACCTGAGCCCTGGGACAGAGGGAGCCTCATCTACAGCATGTTGTCAAAACCTTCCAACCGACCTCCAGCGAGAAAAATGACACACAGTGCTCCCACTACACACAGGCACAAACCCTGGGAAAACAGCTTCAAGACACACCGTCTGCCCTACTGCAAAGTGCATGCTGAAGTTCTCCTTGCCCTCCTTCCCACTCCATTCTATTTCATTCCACTGCATAGCCTCCCTCCCACCCATCTATTCTTCCCAGCCCCCAAACTGATGCTGGGATTGCCATATCCTGGAAGCCATGTGGAAGGCTTTTAGGACTTACAGTCATTTAGGACTTAGAGACCACAGTAAGGAGCTTAGATTTTATTCTAACGGTATTAAGAATGGAGGCTTACACCGAGGTCTTGGAGAATCAAGCAAAGCACTGGGAAAGCAGAAGCATGAGGCCTGGCCAGTCTCAATGTCTGAGACTTCCAAGGTTCCAGCATGACTCTTAGCAGACACCATTACTTGACCAGATGCCCCTTTGAGGGCTGCATCAGGCTTTTAATTCTCCTGAGAGGAGGCAGGAAGTGAGCAAGGAGGAGAATTCCTCTGTACCAGCATTGCAATCCTGAGGATGGCAGAGAAGAGTCCACCCCAGGAGGCAGAGAACCAGCCAGGGCCTTGCACAGAGTCTTTCCAGAGCTTAAGCTGTGTGTGGCACTCGAGTCCCTCTGCCCTTCCTTCAGGCTCTTGCTTCCAAGAAAGGAAGAGCAATGCTCCTCTCTCTAAACCAGAAGTGCTCCATTAGGAGGGCATTTTAACTGTTCATGCCTGAAGCCCAGATGAACTGTGCATTGCTGACCACGTTAATGATTTCATCAAAAAGGCAAGCATTTTAGGATGAAGGTCCATTGAGGAAGAGTGTAAATCAGCCTTCAGTTCATTAAGTGCAGACAGAGCAAGGAGCCCAGAGAAGGTGGAGATCAGAGAACTGACCTCTCACAGTGGCCTCTCAGGGCTGATGGTGTTCTTTATTGCCCTGAATTCTCACTGTTCTCTCTCTCTCTCTCTCTCTCTCTTTGTGTGTGTGTGTGTGTGTGTGTGTCCTTGCTTTTCCATTTTCATTTTATGACCTTGAAATATTTCTGTCTCTTTGGTTATTTTCTCTTCTTGTCAGCTTCATCTCCTTAGAAGTCCTTACTCTGAAGTCACTCTTCAGTTATACAATGTCATAAAAATCATGAAGATTGAAAAATATATCTTGCATGTGAATAGACATTTCCCTAATTAAAAAATATTTTTAAGTTCAATGTTTTCCAAAACTGAAACTACCGTAATTAGTTATGGACTATCCAACTATGGCCTGCCGATGGTGAACCAAGTCTCCTAGACCAGACACCTTGGTCCCTCACTTGGGGCAGATGGAGAACAGGTCAGAAGAGGATGTGGTCACCAACATTTCTGTCCTCCCTCCATGAACTCAGAACGCACAACAGCCTGTAGGCATGCTCCTCCTTGCTCTGCACGTTGAAAGTGTTCAAGGCAAACTCCACTGTGGTGAGGAACATAGGATCCTGGGTTATTTTATTATTACCACCCATTTCCTCCTCAGAACACTGGGCATAGGTCACCAGGAGCTGGAAGCCCATGCGAAGCAGTGACAGTGCCCAGGGCAGAGCCTTCCTTCTCTGTGTACTCGACATGATGCAGGCTCCAGCAGCCCCTGCCTTTGCCCTTCAGATCCGTGGTGTCCACCGGAGCCTTCCAGGGCTCAGGTCTGGCCCTTAAATTCACGTGCTGGGGCAGAAACTCCTCCCTCCAGGTCTCATCTCTGTAGTTACACACTGTTTCTTCCACACATGGCCTCTCTTCTTCCAAAGCTGTTTAAATCATCTCCTGTTCAGGGGAGAGGAACAGCACCCAGGCAGCTGGGTTGGGAAAGACCAGCAATGGGAGAGAGAGAGTGCCCTGAACATGAGGCCCAGCCTCAGCTGCCCCAGCACCTCCGCGGGCTAAAGGGGCCCTCCACTGGGCGCCCCAGTGGAGGTCAGAGCCCGGCACAGGAACACAGTGCAAGAGGTATGAGTGGAAGGTGAGCGCTGGACTCAGTAGTGGAGGTGGGATGGGAGTGGGAGGATGGGTAATAGGCAGGAAAGGATGGAAAGGGGTGACAGTGGACGCTAGGATCGTGGGTGAGCAGGCACAGGGTCCAGAGAAAGCGCTGGGCCTCTTGAGAGAGAGGCGGGGAGCCCGAGAGGCCTGGCGCCATGTCCTGCAGGTGTCTGCTCCCCCGAGGGTATCAGGACGGGGGCCCCAGCCTGGAGGTCCTGGGCAGGGGTTGAGGAAACCAAGAGCAGGAGCCCCCAACCCTGTTCTCTGCACCTCCCTGAATGCAGCTTCCCAAGCCAGGGACGCGCTGCCAAGTGCTGGTACTAGGGGCCTGGCTCCTTATGGCTGTCCCTATTCCTCAAAGGTGTTTCCAGGACGGGTGGCCGCTTGCAATTGGAGCAGTGGAGAATCAGAAAGAGGAAGAGGCCCCCAGGGATGGCTGAGGTGCGCCCGTTAAGTCGTCACGGGTGCCCTCTTGTGGCCACAGCCGGCACAGCTCAGCGGCACAGTTTGTGGGTGGAGATTCTGAGTTCTCCACCAAGACCCTCCTAGCCTCCCACTCCAGCAGCAAATGGGGCTGTGAAAAGACTGAATAATGCGCTTTTCCCACACCAGACTTCATCTTTGTCCCTGTGAAATACGCCTTCGACGTTTATCCGCCGCTCCTTGTACACTTCAGAAGCAACCAGCATCCCCTGAAGTCATGTTAAAAATCAAGTTCCTAGTTTTCCCACCCGAAGATTCTGACCCAGTAGCTGTGAGCAGGGCCAGGGAAGCTACATTTCTCACCAGCTTCCAGAGGATGGAGCGTTCCCGGTCTCGAAACCACACTTTGAGTGCTGCAGGCTCAGAATACTTCCTGGGAGGTGCTTACAGACCAAACCACAAATAAGAAGTAACTCGGCTTGAGGGACATGGAGGTCAGGGGATGAGCATGGTTTTTGTGGGGAACACGGGATGGGGAACAGTCTCAGACAGCATGCCTGGTGACAAAGAGTAAGAATTTGTTTCTAGACCCTGTGTGCAAAGAAGCAGCAACTCAATGTGACCATTCCAGGAAAGCAGCCAGATGTGCCAAAAACATCACCCGAGGTGTCTGCATCCTTTCTCTGATGGCGTTGAGTTCGCTGGAACTGCAGCTGAAGCGTAAGTAACGCGGTTTCTTAGCTGGAGAGTGATGGTGCACGTGGGGGTAGGAACGGGGTGTCAGTGAGGGTGGAAATGCCTTCCTGGTTTTTGGGATGAGCAGACCATAAGGTGCTGTGAGAACTAGAATCCTGATGCCTGGAATAGGTTGCGAGTGTCCTGAGAGAGGCCTGCAACGCCCACGGAGGTCACTCTCACCTTGTAAGGTCAGGGGCTGGTGAACTTGGGGCATCCTGCCAATCGCCAGTAAGTCACCGACCATTCTGAGGGCAGATACCCACATGCACTCCAAAGGGAGTGTCCACACTCGCTCTTACATGAGCAGTGGTTTAGGGTCCTGGGCACCAGCTCTGTCCTCACTGTGCAAAAGGGACGGGGATCCCCACACCCAGATGTGAGACCACAGGTGTGCAGACACCATGGAATCTAGCAAGTGTGTCTATTTTCTTGTTGAAACCTGGGATGGCCTCCCTTCCCAGGTGGAGAGAGACGGGAATATCAAGACATAGCCAGGTGAAGAGAAGTACATGTGGGCTCCAGGCTGCGGAGCCCCGAAGACGTCAACATGTTGCTGAGGCCAGAGTGAAACCGGAGGGCCCGGAGGGACTGGCTGGTCAGCCCACAGCCGCAGCTCACAGCTCTCTGAGGGGCTATCCCCAGGTCTCAGGTCTGAGAGGCTTTCTCTCCTGAGACCCCTTGCAAGAGTTCTATCTCACTCAGCTTCTTCCTGGGCACTCGTTGGCCTGTCTGTCTCTGGGGCCACCGGGACTTGTGTGGTGCCCTGTTTGTGTTGCTGGCACCGGCACCGAACACCCATGTGATCTCATAGGAAGGTTCCAGTAACTCCTCACTGAAATGCACCTGCTTATCCAGAAACAAGGTCCTGTATTTCTAGACTCGTTCCTTTGAATGATTAGAGAATGCTGGCAACGACCAGGACCAAGCCACTGGCCCTTTTCTGTAAAGCTGAATGTGAGGTGGCGGACCAGGGGAAGCCCAGTGACTCTTCGGGGCACAGGACACTCTCCCCAGCTCCCGCAGACCCTGCAGCTGAGTGCTCTCCCCAGGGTCTGACTCATGCCCCTCACTGCCCGGCCTACTCAGCCACATGCTCTAAAAGTCCTGTGAGACCTTGCTCACTGTCTCTTTCAAGCTGGGCCAGGCTCAGTGGGGCCTGCCAGTTTCAGGATCCCCTGCTGGGCTTTGGGATCACATTTTCAGGACCCTCCCCGTTCTCCCTGCTTGGCATTTCCCAAGGACACTCTCCAGACAAGCCAGCATTCCCGGGGGTTTCCGTGTGCTGGAAAACAAGGCGGCATCCGGGAGATCAAAGGAAGACAGCAGGGGCAGGGAGGAGCCCCAGACTCAGAGCAGAGTGGTCCAGTGATTGCTGTCACAGCAGTCATCAAAGGGGCAACTCTGGGCATGGGGGCAGGGGCGGGGGCGGCTGCCTGGGAATTCCAGGGCCCTTTCCGCTCCTCCCTCCCCTCGTCCAGTTTTTCCACCTGGGGGGTTCTTCTTAGCTGTCTTCAGCTGACTTTGAGTTTTGATAATCTAACGAATTAATCTCATAGAGACTATGGCAAACTTAAACTGAGAAAGAGAAATTACAATTGAATTAAAAATGACAAAAGGGGAAATAAAAATACAAACATTACCACTAAATATATGAGGCCTAAATCAGGGGTCGCTCATACCACATGCAAATCAGAAGGCCCCTGGACTGTTTCTCCTCCCGCCTGTGGGTCCAGCAGGTCCCTCACCCTGGCTAGGTTGGGGGTGCTGCCCTGGGCCGGGGAGTTTTGCTCTGAAGAGGAAGTGCTGCCTCAGTCACCCTCAGCAGTCCTCCTGTTCGCTGGCCTCTGCGGACACACCTGCCTTCCCTCCTCAGTGGGCGTTTGCTAAGCTTCTGCTGTGCTCCCAACGGAATCCTCTCCCATCCAACGCAGCCCAGTGTTTTCTTTCCTAAGTACTTTAGTTTTTAAAAAACTTTAAGTTAATTTAAATTTAAAACAGTACAAAAATGTCATAATACCACTTCTTTTTTATTTTTAAAATTTTCTGTAGAGATGGAGTCTCACTATGTTGCCCAAGCTGGCCTCGAACTGGCCTCAAGTGATCCTCCGGCCTCAAGTGATCCTCCTGCCTCAGCCTACAATTCCACTTTCACTAAGTGAAATGTAGGTTTCAACATAATAGAAACTCCAAATACTAGTGGCTTAAGTAAACTGGTGTTGCTTTCTCTTTCATGATGCTGACAATGGCTAGAATTCTTTTTTTTTTATTTTTTTTATTTTTTAAATTTATTTATTATTATTATACTTTAAGTTGTAGGGTACATGTGCATAACGTGCAGGTTTGTTACATATGTATACTTGTGCCATGTTGCTGTGCTGCACCCATCAACTCGTCATTTACATCAGGTATAACGGCAATGGCTAGAATTCTTACAAGCCTCACTCTTGCTGGGCACTGCCTCGTTGACTCATTTAAGCTTCACATAGAAACAGTCAACCAAAATGGTATATATTTTTACATTTTATGTTTTTAACATTTTGAGTAAATAATGACTGTATTTCTCACCACTTTAGGCCTTTACTCAAATCATATATGTGAGTGTCACCTGTGTTGACACTTGTCGCTCTAGCTCCTTCCTTATCAGTGTTTTGCTAAATTCTCCGGGACCTTGTCCTGATGGACTGTGGTTAATTAAGTCCTTCCTGATTTAATTGGGAATGGTGAAATAGGGTGGCGCTTGTAGGATCAGGTGCTTGTGATGATAACTAACAGACTGTGGTTAATTGAAGCATTCTCTACTGACTTGATTTTACATTGGGTTGATTCCATTCGTTTCCTCTTAAATTGGGGTTGCAACGGGCACCTTTGTCCCGGTTTTCATGTGCACCTGTGTGAGAGCTTCTCTAGGGTAGGCCAGAAAGAAAATTGCAGACATATGAGATAGTCTCCTTTCAGCTTTATTAGGGACTGCTGTGCTGATGATTTCCTTTTCTTTTTCCTTTTTTGAGTCGAGGGGGTGGGGGGTCTCACTATGTTGCTTAGGCTGGTCTTGAACTCCTGGGCTGAAGTGATCCTCTCGCCTCTGCCTCCCAAAGTGCTAGGATTACAGGCATGAGCCACCACGTGAGGCCTAATTTCTTTCACCATATAGATTTTTCTTAAAAATTGAAGACAGTTTAATGTAACAATGTTTTGTTTAGGGTATGTGCTTTTGTATTTTTCATTTTAACAATCCTTTCCTACGCTCTTCCATGTTCTCTTACACCATGTTCTTTCTTTTACTTTTCACACTTAGGTGTGCGATCCAACTGGAGGCTGAGTGTGTGTGGTGTGAGGTCAGAATCCCAGGGTCGATCCTCTCCCCCACCGCCTGCGTGCACAGCTGGCTTTTCCAGCATTGACGATGGAGCAACTCATTCTCCACCCTCTGATTCCAACAGCATTTCTATCGTAGTCCCCTTTCCCCAAAAGGCTGGCTGCCTTTGAGTGTCTTTTCTATTGGACTGGCTATATGAAGGAGGCACAGGCCTGAGCTAAGAAAGTCATTGTTTGATCTTGGCCAGGAAAGGAAGAAAAATTCTTGGGCACATCCCAGGCCTAGGCACACTTCCTGGGCCCTGCCTGCTAGAATAGATGGGTCTGTTCCCTGGTTCTAGCCCCGGACTCCCTGCCACAGCCTCCCATCCTCGGGCTGCTGCTCTCTGCTAAGATCCTCTCTTTGGGCATATGGTCTGAGTTTGGATCCCAGCTTTTTGGAAAAGCTTCATGTATTGGCCGTGATTATTGATGCTACTGTTATCACAAGCTCCTCACCCTGCAAGCTCACCCTCTTCCTTCATTCTTTGGAAACATGAGATTTGTTCTTGCAGGCAGCTTTTCTTCCTAGGAAGCTGAAATTAACTTTTTGATGCAGACAAGCACTTGTCCTGAAGAGTAAGAGGAGGAACCAGATGTCTATCACTGAGAGGCGGGAGTGCAGAACTGTAGACAGGATAAGTGGGGTGATCTTGACTGATTGCAAGGAAATAGTACCATTATTGGCTCCAATTGTAGAGGCTGGAATCTTTAGATGACTTGTATGGTTTACAGACTCCACGGAAGGAGGCAAAGCAGTAGCTGAGGAGGTCTTTGGAGTTGGACACACGTGAGTTGAGGTCTCATTTGCACCTTTTGCTAGTTGCATTTCCTGGGGGCACATTTCTACTTCATGTGAGCTTCTGTTTCCACAACAGTACAATTGAACTCTTGTGGTATCTCCTTCACTGAGCTGTCATGAAGATGAATGGGGAGATGTATGGAAGGCACTGGCAGGAGGCCCAGCAGGACCAGGCCCTCCAGAGACAGTGTTTGTGCTGCTCATTCTCATCACCAGTTCTGGGGGGAACATCCCTCACAAGCCAGGCTTGTTGATAACAACCTTCTCAGCAGGCAAGTGGCAGAGGAGCTGCGGAGGGACCCAAATGTCCAAGCTCCCACCAAGGGTAGGCAGGCAAAAAAGAGGAGCAGACGATTCCATGGCTCGTCAGCAATTACCAGGTTGTCTGGGACAGTGTCGACAAGGCACAGAAAAGGGATTGCATTTTACTGTTTGGCTTTGAGTTTAGACTTTTGGTCCAAGTCAGCTTGGGGTCAGAACTCAAGAGAGTTTCTTCTGGAGAATTAAATATAATGATTGTCTCTTCGAAAGGCTCTGACAACCAGACTCACTTTCCCAAACTTCATTTGAAAGTGTTGAGATGCTTGGGTTCACGTCCTTGTGTTCTGCCTTGCAGCTGGGAAACCTGGTGCACGTCAGCATTCCAAAGCCCCCTTTCCTCGCCTATGGTTTTGGATCAAGTTTAGCTGAGAGATCGTATACAGTGACATTGTGTGACCTCTTACAGTACGATTTGACTGTTTGCTGTTAGAAGACCCACTATCCCCCGTCCTCATTCTAAAGTCAAAACAGCCTCTGGGCTCCTCTTTTACTCTATTGGGAGCAA